GTTGCCCAAGCTGGATTCTTATCTTGATCCTCCTGATCTCTGCCTCCTGAGTAGCTAGAATTATAGGCAGGAGTCACTGGTGACTGGCAAGAATAACATTTTTGTATATACATGGTTCTGGGGCTCAAACCCAGGGACTCACACGTGCTAAGCAAGCATTCAACCACTGATATATCCTTAGACCTCATATTTCAAGTGTCTTAAAAATCACTTGTCTGGCCAGGTGTATGGCTGGAGTCATAGAGCGCCTGTCTAGCAAGTGTGAGGCCCTGAGTTTAAACCCCAGTACTGCCCCTCCCTCCAAAAAAATCAGTTGTCTAAACAAAGAGAAATCATGGGTCTGGTCAAATGTAATCAGATCTTCTCTGTTACTACTTCTTTTTAGTATTCTGTTTTGTTTTTTGAAACAGGGTCTCACTGTTTAGCTCAGGCTGGCTTCAAACTAACCATCTTCCTGCCTTTGCCTCTGGAATGCTAGGATGACAGGTATGCCCCACTACTCCTGGCTTCTTTTTCTTTCATTTAGGGTGTGTCTATTTTCAAAGTGGAGATATGTGCGAGTGATCCAAGAGCACTGAATATATAAGATATAGGTGGACTTACTATTTTTAGGTATACTTTTCAGAAAATAAAAGTCTAAATCTTTGTCCCTGACAATGATCCCTTTGGAAGGCCTGTTCTAAAGTGATTGCCTGCAATTATCTGAATTAATTCAAAAGCAGCACCTGTGGGTCTGAGGGAACTTCATTTTGGCAACTTGGTGACTTTGATCAGGAATAGAGTTGATGCTACTGTTTGAGATAAAGAGTGAGAAGTGACTGCAACAAAAAGGTTTCCTTTTCCTTCTGACCTTGAATTCCTACTCAATCTGTGTTCCATGTTGCTGCCTCCTTCAAAACACAGAGCTGACACCACTGAACTGCTTAAAAATCTTCACTGGCTCCCTATTACCCTTGGGATACAAGCCCAGTACTGGAGATTGAACCCAGGACCTCAGCATAACAAGTAAGCTCTTTACCACTTGATCTGTGCCCCCATCCCTCATATGCAGATTATTCAACCTCTAGAGCCCTCGGTTGCCTTTTTGTAAAAATAAGGCTAAAATGTGTACTTTGTTAGGTTGTTTTGAAGGCAATAGTATTGCTAGTAGCTATTGTAATGATATTCTAGAGTAGCAAACTCAGTAAGTAGCAATAATTTATTCATTCTGTGCTGTGATCTACTCACAGCCTATGTAGACAGAAGCCTCCAGCCTCTACTCACCCCAAACAGACAGACATCCTCCAGCGGCCCTCCAGGTAGATAACTCTGGAGTTACATTTTCCTACCTGCAATTGCCTAAGCAAAACAGGGGTCCCATGCCTCTTTGCTTTGCATATGCTGTTCTCTTTTTGTGATGTTCCCCCCATCTGTTTTCTGTCACATATTATGTAACATGCCATCTCCTCTGTGAATATTTATAGTTTGTTTATCTGCACATACAACTGTGTTCCCAGCCAAATTGTAATCTACTTAGGTCAGGAATTGTGTCTCCCAACTCATCTTAGCAATTTCATCAACCCCCATGAAAGTGATTGGCTCAGAACAGCCAGTTAGTAAATGTTGACATAATTCATTCCAAAAGAGAAGTTCATTTTATTATCAACGCTGCTTTTCTCACCAAAAAGTCCATTTTAAGGGATGACATTCATTTATACGTACAGTGTAGTCTACATATGTTTCACAATCACTCTCATTTCTCTGGATCCTCATCTGAGATACAGAAGAGATTAAGAAACAAATGAGGACCATACAAATGATGCTAGAACAGCATTTAGCAGCAATTTGATTAACTTTTTTTTGTTTGTTTAAAAAAAGACTTACCTACAGGAAAAAGCAAGGTCTTAAGTGTAGGCTCTGAATTCTTACCACTACTCAGATGAAGATATAGTACACTATTTGATTTTTTTCTTTGGTGGGACTAGGGTTTGAACTCAGGGCTTTCCGCTTGTAAAACAGGCGCTCTACCTCCTGAGCTACACCGCTAATCCATAGTTATTTTGGAGATGGGGGGTAGGTCTCGTGAACTATTTGCCCATGAGAGCCTCGAACCGTGATCCTCCCTGTCTCAGCCTCCCAAGTAGCTAGGTTTAAAGGCTCGCTATTTGATTTTGAAAGGCATTTCTACCTTGAAATCCCTCAAATCCCATCTCTCCTTTCAACCCTCCACCCCAAATCCCACTGTTGCAACTAATCAGTCTCTCCCCAGTGCCTGGCTCCTGGCAAACATTCAAATACTTGAACGGATTGAGTCGACAAATAAATGTTGATGAATGAGATTCAGGTTGGAAAGAAAGGGAGATGATTAGAATTGTACCCAATCTGCTTTGGGTAAATTATTCCCATTGCCTACTACACCAGGCGTTAAAGGATATCTACAGGGAATTCAGCGATAAGGTTTTTTTTTTTTCCCCTCCATATAGAATTTCAGAGGAGTTCAAGGCACTGAGAGTTAGAGTCCCCTCCCCAGCGTCCCCCGCGGGCTCCACCGCTTTCCTTTAGCCCATTCCCAGGACTCCGCCTCCACCAATCGGTGCTGCCTTGCAAAGACACCCCCTCCCCCGACCCCCCGCCCCCCGCTGCCGCGGTCCAGTCAGCTGGGAGTCGTCTGTTACTGTCTGGACCCGATCCAATCCAACAAGCCCTGCCTTCTTGCCAGCCAATTGGCTATAGGCCGGGGCGGGGGGTGGCGTCGGGCTCCCGGTGGTATAAAGAGGATCGGAATCCGAGGCTGCACAACCTGGGTCTCCCGCCCAGCCTGGGTGTGGCTGGCGCACCCTCCTGTGCCAGATCCTTGCGTGTTGCCTTGCGTGCCCTGTAGAATGGGACCTGGCCCCGGTGGGGGGGGGGCGGGTCTCAGTGTCTTACGTACCCTAGTGCTGGAGAAAAGCTGGGGCTCTCTAACCACTTACACTTGGGCCGCCCACGAGGGCACAGAGACAAAGACGAGGAGGGGACCTGGGACTTGGAGGAGACGGACAGGCTGGCCTCCTACCTTGAGAACCTCCGACCGCCCTTCCCGAAACCCGGTCCTTGGCGCTGGCCTCGGCACACCGGCTCCGTGGCCGCGCTAATGAGGCCGTCTGGGGGAAGTCGGTGCCAACGGGTAGAGCTCTGGGCGGCCGTCCAGGCCCACGATCCTCGAGGCTCCGGCGGGCTGCCAGCAGCCAGAGGAGACCAGGGATAGAGCGGTCCGCGGCCCCCTATCCCTAGCCGGGTCTCCCTAGAAGATCGGGGCTGCAAGTTCGGCGTACTTGGGTAGAGACAGCACCCTCCCCGTCGGCCTTCCCCAGGTCCTCGGCGCAGCGACTGCTTTGCAGTGCCCCCCCCGCCACGGTCCTGTAGCCACTGTAGGCGAGGACACATTTCTGGTCACCTTTGCCATACTGTCGTGCCCCTTGACTCACTCTTCTTCAGGATCGCCCTAGGACAGGGGACAGGAGGAAGTCACACGTCCCCAACTGTGCTTCCGAAACCTGAACCTCAGTGTTTCCCTCAGTAAAATGGGGACGTAGCTCACTGAATTCGGTGTGACAGTTTGTGAAGCGTCTGGCTCCTTCCTTTCCGTTCCATTCCCGACCCTGTACATTTGAAACTGCAGGACCTGGGCTGGCTTGCCAGGAAACGACTTGCCCCTCCCGTCCTTGGGGTCGCTTAGGGGTGGTGGAGGCAGCCGAGCACTGGGTGTGGCTGCATATTTCTCTGAACTCCACAGTTCAATAGCATGCTCTTCCCCTGCCCCCTTCACAGTTGCCTTTTTGTATTACTTACTAGTTAGAGTTATGCACACAGCGTTTACAATATATACGTTTACATTGCCATTATCTTTGTCATTTTCTGTAATTACAGAAGTGGTCAAATCCATTATAAACAGCCAATCTTATTTTTACAGTGTAGGTAAAAGAGGCACAGGGAGTGCCTCTATTAACACTAAGGTTCACCACTGTTTTACTGTAGTAGGTGGAAATTCCCGTATCTACACTGGAGCAGAACTCGCAGGGCGGGTTAAGCGTGCTGGTTGCCAGGGCAACGGCCAGTCGCGGGTATTGGAGCCCAGCAAGGAACACAGCGAGTCCTGGGTCGCTCCCGCCCTGGGGGCGGAGTTAACCAAGGTCGCGGACGGAGAGGAATCGCTTCCCATATTTACCTTCAGGTGGCGCTATAGGATCGCGGATGCTGTCCTGGGGCGGGGCTTCCCTCTGTGCTCGCTAGGGGCGGGGCCGAGGCCGGGCGGGGCCGAAAGACTCCCTTCTTCTGTCGCTGCAGCTGCAACCCGCAAGGGACCGAGAAAAACGAGCTGACTCGGGCGCTGACAAAGATGGACTTGAGACGTACATAATGGGACACAGAAAGTGTAGGCACCAAAGAAAGCCAGGGAGAAAGAGCAGGTTCTGGGACAGGGACTGAGAAGGGAAGCACGTTGTTCAGACAGGTTGTCCATCTCCATTTTTCCAGTTTGCTCCTGAACGCCCCTTTCGCCCCTCTCTCCCTCCATCCCTGCGATTCCTCACAGCCTCTGGAGCAAACTGGTGATGCTCTGGGCTCACGCACTATGGGCGCTGACCAATGCTTCCTATGGGCAGAGCCAGCAAGCTTGCAAGGGCTCTAGTGCCCAGAGTACATGCCAGGACAGGAATTCCCCGGTCCCAGGGATGCCAAGAAAAACAGCCATGCTGTTCCTCAGTTTGTCAGAGGAAGCCTTACTCCTTTCCTTTCTGGAGGCTAGGAATGGAAAAAATGACTCAAGGACTCTCCAGTGGAACCGCCCTGTGTGTGCCGCACACATAGAATAGGGGTACCATCTTTTGATCTCCTCTCCTGGAAGTTTGTGCCATTTCTGCCACTCTTACCATGTCACACTGTCATATCCAGCCCTCCCCACACATATGGGACCTCAGTATCAATGTTGTCCTCCCTGTGTTAAACAGTCCCTTTCCATTTATCCACTCCTCTTCCCAATCACACTGATACAAGGATACGCCTCTCCCTATGAATACTGGGTATCAGAGGGATGAGCCACAGAAAGCACAGAAACCCTTGTCTGAACACACACACACTTCCCAGGCCAAAAAAGGAGGACACCCTTGCCAGAAGAGAAGCAGGTTTATTAGGGCCCCAGGCGGAGAATGCCTAAGTTCTGAGTGAAGGCAGTTTAGCTGTTTCCCATGGCCCCAGGGGCAGGTCAGGGCTCTGGTAGAGCTGGGACTAAGCCTTTGCTTCTCAAAATCCCTGGCCTGAGACCTCAGAGGCCAGTTCTGGGAGGGCAGAGGGGTCTGTTTCTCCTGTCCCTTGGGATCGTTGGAAAACTTTTGTCCAGACTGGGGAAACGGTCCTCTGGGGCCAGGGAGCTTTGAATCCACAGCCTTCATTTCAGTAATGACCATTTAATTTGTTCCTTGGCAGACTGAAGAACCTGGGATGGGGGGGTAGGAGGTTGACAGAAAGAATTGGGGAGAAGATCAAATGCTTTCATTGGCAGTGAAGAGGTCTCCAGGCATCCCTGCTGGTCCTGGTCACTAGGTGGCAGCAGCTGGTTTAAGTGGGGACTGACCTCAGGGTGGAAAGGGAAGGGTAGGGCCAGATGGGTGCAGCCAGTTCCCACCTCAGGCCCAGACCTGCCCAGCTCTGGTTCCTGCATCAGGAGCCCTGGGTGTGGCAGTGGCCCCTGCCTCCCCCACACCATGCCATGCCATATGAGCTTCTGCCCGTAGTGCCATGTCCAGGCAGAGCCTGGGCCTGGGCTGAACTCTGCCTGTTCTTAGGCACCTGGCATTCAGTAAACTCCTATAGAGCTCTGCCTTGGCTGGCAGTTGTGTTCTTAACCCAAACTGCTGCCAATATGGCACAGTTGGCCAAGGGTGGCCAGCCAGACCCTGCTCTGGACACCTGCTCTGAGAGAGAGCAGTCTGGTATATATAGAAATCTGTGCCACTGTGCATACTTGATGCAATCACAGAGAGTAACTTGTATCCCTCAGATTGTCCCTCCAGCCATTAAACCACATTCCTTTTCAACGAAGGTCCATCTCACACGGTGAACATTCCTTCCTCCTGCAGCCTCCTCTTCTCTGGGAGTAGTGAGGTTCCCCCACTTCTCCTGGAGGAATCTCATTTTCTCATTTTAGCTAATACTTGCTAAATGCTAAATGCAGCTTCTCTTCTACTCAAGATTTCCACTAAATATTCTGTCTTCATTCTTTGCCCCTTTGGAAAAGTAGCAAAGGTTATTTACTGAGAATGGATACTGCGCTAGGATATTTCCAAGCAGTGGCTCATCCAATTTTTATAATAACCTAAAGAGGGTCTTATCCTGGTCCCACTGGGTGGCACAGGCCCATCTCAGAAATACCAGGGCATGAGAGGTTCAGAGACGTGCCACCCAACTTTAGATGGCAAGGTGGGACGTGTATTCTGGGATGATGACCCATAAGAGCACCTGTGGGGTTTGGTTTTGTTTTGTTTTAAGCAGTGGGGATTGAACCTAGGGTCTTACGCATACTAGGCAGTTACTCTACCACTGAGCTACATCCACAGCCCTTTTCTTTAAAAATTATTTTTTGCGACAGTATCTTGCTAAGTTGCCCAGGCTGGCCTTGAACTTGCTATGTAGCTCAGGCTGGCCTCAAACTTTTGATCCTTCTGTCTCAGCCTCCTGAGTAGCTGGGATTGCAGGCATGAAGCACCATACCTGGCCTCACACCTGTGTTCTTATCTGCTGTGTTCATCACTCCCCAACCTCTTTTCCCTGAAAATTGCCATGTAGCTGTATTCATTCCAGCAGGGTATGAGGAGACATGGAGGACCAGAGGGCAGGAAGTACAGAGGGCAGTTCAGGAAAGTGGGCACCACAGATGGGGCTCCCCACCAGATGGCACAGGGCCCATGTTGGCAGGCCCACCACAAATAGAGGAGTAGTTAGTGCCAAGGCATGACGCTCCACAGAAGCAGGATTAGTCTGTATAGAGAGACCTGTAAGCAGACAGATCAGAGATGAAGGCAGTTGGCTTGACTAGCAGGAAGTTTGTGCAGCTGCAGAACCAATCTGGCCACAGAGCCAGGACCCACCCCATTCCACGTGCATCCCCAGATAGGATCATGCAGATGTAACTGGGGCATCTTTTCCATAGCCAGGTTACTCAAGGGAAAGGTAGCAAGTGATGAGTGGGCTGAAGAGGCCCTTAACAATTCCAGCATGAAGCCTAAATGGTGAGGGGGTGGGGGTTGGAGGCAAACTCCTATTTGGTCTCCTTTCTGGCTTGGGGAGAGCAGCAGGGGTCTGAGTCCTACTTTGCTTTAGGCAGTTCATTTCGGGTTCAGTTCAACTACACTTGGCCAGGAGATGAGGTGTGCAGGTGGTTGCACACCCATCCACTCATTAGTACCCACCTCTGTACCCTGGAAAGCCTGGAAGCCTCCAGTGACTCTAAGTCTTGGTCTGTCACTGCCTCATCCCTTCTCTCTCATACCCCTAGATTCTCAGCCTCAACCACCTTTCCTGAGGCACTGGGCTCTTCTTATCTCTTTAGTCCATTTCTGGTGAGGGCAAGTACAGGGGCCTACCTGAGCCACACTCTGTTCAGTCAGGCCGCTGTCATCTGTCTGTGGAGAAACAGAGTCAAATGGTGTTGTCGGGCCAGGGCGAGGGGCTGGGAGGCGGAGTGAGGGAGTGTTGCGTTAGCATGATCCAGACCTACATCTGTATCTCCACTTAGTGGAAGTCCTGCAGCCTGTCACTTGGAACCCAGGACCCCTGGGATCCTTCACCTTGAATGAAGGATGAGGGTGTAAAGGGAATAAAGATGGGAAAAGGTATCATCCAGACATGAGAAAGCCAAACCAGGTAGGGAAACTCTGCCCATCCCTCCAAGTTTCAACTGTAAGGCCAAGGCAGCCACCTGGCATCTTTTTGAAGATGCTCTTACTTCCCCACCTATTCTTCCCACCAGGAAGGTGATCTCTATAGAGAGAGAATGGGACGATCTCACTTATCAACTGACACTCCAAACTGATGCCCACCCACCCTGCCCCTAGCAAATGCAATGATCCACTGGTTGGCTTCTGCCAGAAGATCTAGGGCTCCCACCAGCTGGGCCCTGGCAGCTCTGTGCTCTGAAGGACAGGGAGGAAGAATGGGAAGAGCAACATGGAGGAGACCAGGATATGGGGGCAGGGAAAGGGGAGGTAACAGGAAGACTTACCCTAAAATTCACTTTCTGGATTACTTGCTGGGGATCACTCTCCAGAATCACACTACAAGATGAGAAATAAACCAGGGGGATGATTGGCAGCATGATTCTCACCTCTGTTTCCTCTCCCAGCCAAACTGCTTCCTTCTCTTCAGCACTTCCTACAGTATCTTCCCTTCAGGGTACCTTCCCACTGATAGTCCTCAAGTCACACCTCTTCCTCCTCACCACAGAGGGCTCTCAGCTCTGCTTCTTCTATACTTCACACTGTGGTCCATACTGTTGGTCATCACTGGGCAAAAACCGTGAAATGGGTTCAATCTAGAATGATGAAGTACTAAACGCAAAGACTTACAAGCTCAGAGCTCTCCAACGTTCATGTCCTCTACTGGGCCAAGGGACCCATGAAAAGACTCAGCTACAGTGAAGGAAGGGAGGCCCCTGGAGTTCCTGTCTTATCTTCCTATTACTTATGCCATGGGGTCATGCTGCACGTGACAAATGGGACTCCAAAATCAGAATCTACCTTCCCTTTTGATAAACCCAAGTACTGGCGCTTTTCATAGCCAGTGGGCACTCATTCATGAGATGTTAGGAGTGCTAGGGAGTCATTTGTGGTATGTGCAAGGTGCACAGGGTGGCAGGACCTGTCACTGTAGGTGGGACAGAGCGTATAGGAACTGTAAGCTCCCCCTTACCCAGGAGATTCCTCCAGGGCAGAAGTTGGTTTTCCTTTTTTACCCATCTACTGGAAATGATAGACATTTCCCAGGAGCCTCTTCCAGGTCCATTACTGGGACCAGAGATCCTGGAATCTAGGAAGACAGAGCATCCCAGGCCAGGCCTCCCATTTGGGGGCTGTCTCCTGACTGGCACTCCTGGGTTTCCTTGGCAGGAAACTGAGCTCCAAGGGGTTGAGATGGGGAGACTTATGGGGCTGATAATTGGGCATATTCTGTGCTCATGCCTTCCAAGGCCTGTGCCTCACTTTGTGGTTGTAATTGTATGTGTGTGTGTGTGTGTGTGTGTGTGTGTGTGTGTGTGTGCCTGCTCATGTGGTTTGTCTTCAAGAGGGCCCAAATTCTGTATGCATCCAACTCCATAAAACCTGGCCTTCCAATCACTTTTGGGTCCCATCAATCAGTACAATGCTGAGCAGTGACAGGCAGTCAATAGAGATAGAGGAGCTGGGCATGGTGGTACACACCTGCAATCCCAGCACTCAGGTGGCTGAGGCAGGAGGATGGAGAGTTCTAGGCCATCCTGGTCAACATAGGGAGTTCAAGGGCAGCATGGGCTACATAGGAAGACCCTTCCTCATTAAAAAAAAAAAGAACCAAAAATATATGCATGCCCCTATCCATACATCCATTTTTTGAATGAGGATACAGGGGCTCAGAGATTCTAGTAACTTGCTCAAGGACACACAGCTAGAGAGTGGCAAGGCCAAGATCTAAAACCATATACACTCAGAGTATGGTGTCTCACATCTGTATTACCAGCACTTGGGAGGCTGAAGACAGGAGGGTGTTCCAGGCTAGCTTGAGCTACACAGAGTGACCCTGTCTCAAAATAAATAAGTAAAAATAAAACCATATACATGTGAGTTTCCAGAGATTATATTCTATCCATAGCACTGTACTACCCTGCCTAGGGGTAGGGGACTCTGAGAAATGGTATACTGAAAATGCTTCCCTCTATCACTTTTGTTTTTGTTTTTGACTTTTTTGGGCAATGGTAGGGCTTGAACTCAGGGCCTCATGTTTGCTAGGCATTTGAGCCACTCTGCCAGCCTTTGTTTTTGTTTTTTGGTGAGGTTGGGATTTGAACTCAGGACTTCATGCTTGCAAAGCAGGTGCTCTACCACTTGAGCCATGTCTCCACTCCAGCTTTGCTCTAGTTATTTTGGAGATTGGGTCTTGTAAACTATTTACCCAGGCTGGCCTCAAACTGCAGTCCTCCTGATCTCAGCCTCCCAACTAGCTAAGATTACAGGCATGAGCCACCTGCACTCAGCTACATAGTGAGTTGGAGGATATCCTGGGTTATGTAGGAGACCCTGTCCCAAAACAAAACAAAATAAAACAAACAAACAAAAAGATACTCAAGAAAATTCTATCATCCTACGCCACAGAGCCAGAACTTCTTTTTCTCACTGATTATTGTTTCTTCCCTGTCCTTCAAGGCACTCCACTAACCAACTTTTCTCATAAGGGCTCCCAGGTTCCTAAGAAAACACTAGCAGCCAGGTGTTGGTGGTTCATGCCTGTAGTCATAGCTACTTAGGAGGCAGAGATCAGGAGGATTGAGGTTCAAAGCCAGCCTGAGGCAAATAGTTCATGAGGCTCTATCTTGAAAATACTCATCACAAAAAAGGGCAAATGGAGGGACTCAAGTAGTAAGAGTGCCTGCCTAGCAAGTGTGAGGCTCTGATATCAAGCCCCAGTTCCACAAAACAAAACAAAAAACTAACATACCAATGGGAAGTAACATTTTCCAATGAGAACCATTTCACATGCATCATCTTCTTCAACCCCCCACAATCCTGTGAGGTCATGTCCTTATCATCACCATTTTAAAGACAGGGAAAGTAAGGCCAGAGAGAGTCAGTAACTGGCACAAGTGGTAAAAGGGGGAGGGGTGGGGCTAGCAGACTGGCTGAAGTTCTTTTGGAAAGAGACGGGCAGTTATGCTACTCTTGGACCCTGGAGATCAACCTGGATTTTCCTAAACCCTGCCTATTCAGACATCTGTCATAGGTTGACATCTGGTTACTCTCTTGCTTGTCTTGACTTTGGTTAACACCGACATCAACCTCCATCCTCATAAGTGGGGTGGGAATAAGAGGAAGGGGTGGGGCATGAGGTCACTGGGACTATGTTGGGGGAAGGGAGGGAGAGTGGGCTAGTGAGGCCAACAGTGGGCTTGGAGCAATCTCGATTGAATCCGCAAAGGTGCCTCTGGCTCTGAGTATCCTTGACCATCCCCTCTTCTCTTCATCCCTCCTCACCCGCCATCCACAATCTCGTCCAGTACTAAGAAGGCTCCGTCCATGTTCTCCAGCAACCAGCGTTTCTCCACATTCTTCCTAAAGGCAGAGATAAGATCCAAAGCCCCATTCCCATGGCTAGGAGGGACCAGATCCTGTTTAGGTGAGAGACCCCCTCTCTCCAAAGACTACTTCATCGACTGCCCCTCTCCCAAAGTACTAGGAAGGAGAAAGCAAAGGACAGTGAGGGCAGAGCCTTGCAAAGGTCTCCTGAGCACAGGGCAGCTCTAGGATTAGCCTACATTGGTTAATGCAGGCCATATTTTTTGATCAGATAACAGAAGGGTATGCAGGGAAAAGCAACCTGAGCTTCAAGGCAAAAAACCCTAAACTGTAATTTCAGCACTCAGGAAGCTGAGGCAGGAATATCTCAAGTTCAAGGCCAACCTGGGCTTCAGAGAGTCTCTGCCTTCCCCCCAAAAAAGCCCTGAATGTGGATCTCTGTTATGATATTAATATTTTAACTTCAGACATCTAAGTATCTTGAGATTCAACTGCTCGCTATACACTGTACATGGCCCTGACCTGGGTGGTATCACAGAGGACAGGTAGAAGGTATGGGCTCTGGTTCTAGTCTTGAAGATCTGTGAAGATTTCAGGAGGAAAGCAGGGAGTGAGGGCTTTGACTCTTGGATGATCAAGGCCTGGGGGCTGGGATCCTAGAGTGCAGAGAATCTCACTTACCTTAACACGTGGCTCAGAGAGTCAAACAGGCAGGTGAGAACAGACATGAGCATCAGCTGGGGAGGGCAGGTGCAAGAGGAGGAAAAGAAGAGCTGAAGCTGAGAGGCCCAAAGGAGACCCAGAGCCCCCTGTGTGGTCCACAGTGGATGGCTTTCCCCATCAGAGAGGACTGGGCTGGAGGCTGGTTGCACTTTGACCTGAGATGGAACTTCCCCAGGTCTGGATTGGGGATACTGGAGTGCTCCACTGGGGGACACTGAGTGTCTCCTTTTCTAGTAATGTTAAGGAAGAATCAATGACTCCCTGTAGAGGGTGTTAATGACGTCATTTCTTATTCCCAAGAAACATAAGGGGCACATAGATTTGCACTGTCTCAGAAAAACCCATTCCCGTCACAAAGACCCCTCCCCACCCCAAGATCCTAGAGAGGTGAGCCCACCTCCACCTCAGATTCCAAGCCTTCCCCCCAGAACAGCACCTCCTTGTCACCCCGGGCTCCTCAACTTACCTCATTCTCATGGGATGAGCCCACCACGTACAGGAAGAGGTCAATACTGCTCTTGTAGACAATGGTCATGCCCCCAAAAAATGCGATCTCACCTAGAAGTAAATGGGTTGTCAGCTTTGGCCACCTCTGCCTGGTGCCAGCCTGGCCCCCGCCCCCTTCCCAGGTCTTCTGCTCGGCACCTTGCCCTCTGTTTCCTTCTCTTCCTTGATAGACCAGCGCTAAGAATACTACCATGAGGTTTCTGTGTCCTTGTTCCCATCCCATGCTCTATTTCTAGGGATAGGCCTCCTGCTGATGAGTCAACAAACCCAGGACCAGGTTGACTTCCTGCCCACCTTCTACCATATGCAATGCCCTGGGACCTATCCTCCCAGGGGATCCTCTCTCTTAGTTGAGAGAGGGTTGGCTGTGCTGGGGTGGGAAGTAAGAATGATGGGAGTGAAGGTTCCCCAGTGAAGGGAGTGGAGAACAGCTGGGAGGGAGAAGACAAAGAGCTTCAGAAGAGTAGTGAATGGGTTGTGGGTGGGGAAGGCCATCAGGGACAGATGTGTCCAGATGGAGAAGATGACAGACACTGGTGTCTGTCTGAGGAAGAGGCAGACACTTACTCTCAGTCCTGCTGGTCTTGTTGAAGACATTTTTCTCAAAGACCGTCTGCTCCTTCATGGAGGGAAAGGTGTCATCATAATACTGTGAAAAAGAGAAGGGCAACAGCCATTCCACAGAGCCTAGCTCCTTCCGGAGGGGTGTGGGTTCTGGCCACGCCAGACCCTGCTGCTATGCCCTGTCTCCCATGTACTGCATTCCAGGCCTGTCTGCTCCACAGTTCCCATAAACAAATTCTAAGCAAAGAAAATCAGAGGAGCAGCCTTTGAAGTCCCTTCCTTTTTCCCTCCCTCTTTCTCTTTCTTTCCTGTTTCTTCCTTTCCCTCTTTCTTTCTTTTCCTTGTTCTTGCTTTCTGTTCTTTCTTTCTTTTCTTTCCCTTTCCTTCCTTCCTTCTTTTTTCTTTTTTGCAGTACTGGGGCTTGAACTCAGGGCCTATGCCTTGAGCCACTCCACTCTTTTTCATGATGGTTTTTTTGAGATAGGGTCTCATGAACAATTTCCCTGAGCTGGCTTCAAACCAAGATCCTCCTGATCTCTGCCTCCTAAGTAGCTAGGATTACAGGCATGAGCCACCAGCTCTTTTCTTTTCTTCTCTTTTCTTTTTTTCCTCCTTCCTTGCCACTGGGGATCACACCCAGGACACTGCATATGATAGGCAATCACTCTACCACTGAACTACATTCCCAGCCTCCAAACTCAGTTTCTTAATTGGTAACATGGATGGGTCCTGCTGGAAGGAGGCCCTGGATGTGCTTTAGCATTGCTGATCCACCTCTGACCATCTACTGGGGCAAGGTGTGTTCCTCTCAGCTTCCAATTTTCTGAATATGCATATTGCCATTTACTAGTCAATCTACAGACAAATTAGCAGTCTCCCCACTGAATCCTGCCATGGTAAACAAATATATGAATGTTATGAGTACAAAATAGTTTTAGCCCCAAACAAATGCATGTCATAGCTAAATTTGATCCTGTAGCAGAGCACAGCTACAGTTAATTGTGTCAAGGGTGGAAATTTAGTTTGGAATTATCCTGGTTTGATCTACTCAGGCCATGTTCACTAGGATGGATACCAGATAACTGAGTAGAAGGCAAGTGAAAATCACCCTGATCTTCAAAACCCTGAGCTTGAGGCAGACACAATGGTATGTGCCTGTAACCCAAGCACCTGGGAGATGGAGGTAGGCATATTGAGAGTTGGAAGCCAGACTGGTTTACATAGTGAGTTCAAGGCCAGCCTGAGCTGCATAGTGAAACCCTGTCTCAAAAATCGAAGGGCTGAAGATATAGCTCAGTGATAGAGTGCTTGCCTGACATGTGCAAGACCCTTGGTTCCATGCCCAGCACGGGGGAAAACACACACACTCACAAACAAGCAAGCAGATAAACAAACAATCAAAAACCCCTGGGTTTGGACCTATGACATTAATACTGTGACCTTAGGCAACTCACTTAGCTTCTCTACATCTCATTTTATGTATCTGTGAAATTAAAGAATTGGATTACATGGTCTTTAGAGTCCCATCTGGTTCTAAATCCTTACACTAAGTCTTTTGTGTTTACTAAGCCGCAATACAAAAGGAGAGGTCACTTGTTCAGAGTTTAGGGACCAGGACTCCTGGGACCCGGACTCAACTCTCCATTGACACCTTTGATGGAAATCTCCCATGCCCTAGGTCCAGCTGGCTGGTGGGAAAACAAAGAGAAGACGTGTCAGGAAGCATGAGAAGACACAAACGAGATACCCCCTGCAGGGCCAGAAGCTTGACTAGGCAGGAGGGTGGACAGAAGGGCCTCTGGAGGGTCTAGGCCAGGCTACTCTGCATCTCAGAGGCCAGAGTCTCTCTCTGTTCTTGAGACGGTGTACTGTGTGTTCAGGGTGCCTGGGGTGGGGGGTTACCTTGGCCAGCAGCCGATTCCCGTCATTATCTAGGATGAAAACAGCCTTGATGGTGTAGAGGGAAGGTTCCTGCAACTGACACCGGGGAGGAGAGCTCTTTTGGTGCCTGACTCAAGGTGGACGCCCTGTCACGCGCTCTATGGGATCTGCCGGCCCTAGGAGTACATCCTCAGGCTCCAGCGACCCCAGTCCCAAGTACACAGCTGGTTCCAGTCCAACCCTTTGCCTACTCGAGTGCCCACTCCACTCCCAAGCAGATGTTCCACTGCAGGCCCGGGGTGGGGCGCTGTGCCCGCTGGGTGCAGAAAGTCCTACCGGGCCCAAGTTCTGTCATGCACTGACTGCTCCAGAGCCCGAGTCGGAGTGTATCACAGAACCTGGGCCGGGGGGGACAGCGGCGCCGAGCCTCCTCCGTCCAGCTCACCCCAGGCTCCAGGAGTCCCCGCCATCACCCTCGGGCGACGGGAGCACAGTCCGGGGCCGACTCGTCACTCCTCACCCTTCCCGTTGGAATCTGACCCCCACCCCCACCCTGCCACTCATCCCTGCCTCGAGTTCCCGCAGAACTTCAGCCCTGCGCCGGCCACTCGCTCGCCCGCACCAGGACGAACTTTTCCTCCCACCCCTGGGGCTGGACAGTGGCGGCACAAAGTTCTCATCTCCAGCGCCAGTTGTGAGTTGGGTGTCCTCCCTCCCCCCATCCTATCCCCCCGCCACCACACTGCCCGCTCCTGCCGCCCGGGGACCCCGCACCCGCCCGCTCCGTACCCGCGGCCCCGAGGGCTCCCCAACTCCGGAGGGCGATGCCAGGCCCCCCGCCTGGGCGGCCGCGGCCCCCTCCCCCGGGTGCGGACGTGGCCAGGCCTCGGGCCGCTGCATTCCGCTCGCCGCCTCGCACTGACAGCGCCGCCCCGCCCCGCCCCGCGCCCGCCCGCGGGCCGCCCCCCAGGGCGCAGTCCGCGCCGCCCCTCGGCCCGCGCCAGTGCCGGCTCTCCTTTCCTCCGGCCCCTTCCTCTCGGCGCCCTCCCTGCCCTACCTTCGCTGCCTCTGCGCGCTGCCCCCACACCCCAGCTCTCCTCCCTCTCTCACTCTGCTCCTTAACGTCCCTCAGGTGGCTCCAGGACCAACCTGGCTTCCTGCTTCCTGCCTCTTCTTGGGCCAGTGACTTTGGTTTGCACCGGTTCTGCAGGCTGTTCTGGGGCCAGCAGGAAACACAGGTGAAGCCCACTCCCTGGTAGGTATCTTCAGGACAAATATGGTCAGGTCATCCCTTTGGATCTTGGGACATGTTCCAGCAGGTGGGGGCAGAACTGTAGAGACCCCTCTACAGAGAAAGGAGCTGTAGTTTGGGGGACACCCCTACACACACACACACAGAGACGTCTCTCAAGACACACATGTTCACAATCTGAAACAGGACGAATGCCTGCCAGCACACATGCTCCCCCTAGGGCCTGGCTTGGCAGTATGTTTGAGATTTCTTGGATCTAAGTCGACCAGAGGACAAGCTCTCATTTGGGGACACTGGCCAGTGGACAGTTCACAGCCTGTGAGGCAGAGCTAATTGTACCTTTGGGTACTCACCTAGATCAATACCACTTGTGTCTTTTACACTGATTATCGTGATGTATCAAAAGATACATCTAGCCAGGCACTGTACGCCTGTAATCCTAGCTACTCAGGAGGCAGAGATCAGGAGGATCGAGGTTTGAAGCCCAATAGTTTGCCAGACCCTATCTCAGAGGGGAAAAAAAAAAAAAACTTCACAAAAAAGAAATTTTTGGTGGAGTGGTGCAAGTTGTAGGTCCTGAGTTCAAACCCCCGTACCACAAAAAAAAAAAAAAAATCTGGAATGTAGGTGTTTTCACTCCTCCCACCCCCCCATCCCCGCCTGCTGTTGCAGACTTTGTGTGATTTTTTTTTTCTCTTCCCATGTCTCCGCATTCAGAATACAGACCAGACACAGGGCTGAGGTGTATATGGGGTAGGTTTACTTTGCCTCCTCTTTCTATACAGTCAATGCAAAAACACAACCTGTGGTAAGCACCAGGAGGCCCATGTGACCTTTTCAAGACTGTAGGGCTTTAAGTAGTTGAGTAGGAGGAAACTCAAAATGTCTTCCCAGTTCTTCACCCCTTCAATACCTCTCATTCTGAGTAGGCATTCACTCATCCCAGATGACTGCCCAAGGGGCTCAGGATGCAGCTTAGAGGTAGAATGCCTGTTGTGCATGTGTGAATCCATGGGTTCCATCCCAGCATATTTTCTTCACACTCACTGCCAATTAACAAGCAAACAGGACATGATGGCATGGCTCAAGAGGTAGTGATCGAGAAAAGTGCAATAAAAGAAAGGAGTAGGGTGTGACAGGAGAGACATATCACATTAGACAGGGTGACTGTCAGGGGGTGGATTTTGGTGAGGATATTTAAAGTGGAACTTGAAGAGAAGGCTCAGGTACTTCATTAAGTACTTATTTAAGTACTGCAGGTACTTAAATAAGTGAATGAATAAGTGAATTCAAGGTGAGGGAGTCATGTATAAACACTCACAGGCTACCAATTTTAAACAAACAAAAATTAGAAGGTACTTATCAATCAAACCATATATCATATGCTGTACAACTATTTATTGAATGCTTGCTATGTACTGGGATACAACCATAGACAAAATAAAATCTTTGCTCTCATGGGATTTATAAGCAAGTGTGTGTGTGTGCATGTGCATACATTTCTGTGCAAGATAGATAACATGCAAATAAATGTGTAAAGCTGATGTTCTAGAAGTTGGTGATAAGAAAAATAAAGCAGGGGCTTGGGTGTAACTCAGTGGTAGAGTGCTTGCCTGGCATATGCAAAGCTCTGGAAAAAAATAAAAGCCAGCAGAAGGAATGGAATCAGGAATGTAAGGGGTCAGGGAGAGGCAAGGCATAATGCCAGACACTAGAGTGTCTGGGAAAGCCTTCAAGAAAGACAAACTTGAACAAAGAGTGGAAGAAGGTGAGGGAGCAAGCCAGGTAGACATGTGAGGAGACAGCTACTGAACTGCTCTCCGTGATGACTTAGGAGATACACTCGTATCTTCTTTACAGGCTATCAGACTTGTAATGGTGGACACAGTCAACAGTCAACATTATTTGGTACAGTGTGTGTGTGTGTGTGTGTGTGTGTGTGTGTGTGTGTGTACCCAGTACTTAGCTATTTTGTTTAGATTCTGGATCATGAAAAGTTATGCCAGTGGTCACACTGGCTAGATACATTATGAAAAAATTGATTTAATTATTTCAGTGCCTTGTTCATATGTACAAGGACAGCACCAAAAGCTCCCAGAGGCATTTCTCAGCCTCTGTTGGGCATATGGTACCCACCTTGGGAGAGGGTCTGCCTCCCAAAGAAGGGACAGAGGAAGACCTGGGAAGATAGGGGCCTGAGGGAGCTGGGGTGGCCCCATAGGACTGGTGAAGGAGGAGTTGGTCACACAGGGAGGGGATACAAAGGCACTGAAGGGGGTGGGTTGGGCTGGGGATGAGAGAGAAGGCTGTGAAGGAAGTTTAGGAACCACAACGTTCTCATCACCTCCACTCTGTCCACCTCTGTTGTTGCTATTCTCATAATTGCCAGGATCTCCTTACATCTGGTGCAGTGGTGAGCTACTAAGTTCAGAACCTTCAAATTAAACCTTCTAAGCAAGAGAAGTTCCTCATCAATGGCCCCTCTTAAGCTCCCTAATAGATACCCCGGGACTCCTTTCTCTCTTTGCCCCTGCCAGCCTGAGGTGTGGGCTTTAGAATCCTCTTTAATGGGTTGCACAAGGTCAGGGCAGTGTCATCCACAGAGTGTCAGCAACACTGGAGAAGCACACAGGTGCAGCAGCAGAAAATCAGCTCCGTAGCTTGACTGGAGTGAGGAAGCCATGGCTGCAGCTAGCTGGGCATGGTGGTACATATCTGTATATACCAGCTACTCAGGAGGCTGAGTCAAGAAGATCTCGAGTTTGAGGCCAGCCTGGGCTGTATAAGACTCCCACCTCAAAAAAAAAAAAAAAAAGCAAGGGGGCTGGAAGCACGGTTCAAGAGGTAGAGTACTTGCCTAGCAAGCATAAGGGCCTGAGTTCAAACCCCAGTACTGTCCCTAAAAAAATCGTAGCCTTTCCTTCAGGGGGGTGCGGCAGGGCAGGGCTATGGGACTGTGCATCTCGAATCCCTCAGTCTGAGCCAAAGCTGTGCTCAGGATTGGTCTTTGTTCTTTGGAACCCCAGGAGTCAGGTGATTCCAACAGGGTTCTTGGTTCCAATGGGCCTTGACATATCTTCAGGGGAGACCATTCTCGTTTCCTCTGACTCACCCTCCTGCTGCCACATGTCTGGGCTGTCTGTCCTGGGATTTCAGCATCTGTTCCTGTGTGACAAGAAGAAACAGCTCCTTTGAGTACCAGCTTCAATCCTTCCTGCTATAATGTCAAGAGGGGGAGGTGTGTGTGGAATAAGTGTTGTGCTGGAGAGAGAACGAAAGCTTTCTTGCTCCATCTATAGGGTGGGCTTCAGTAGATCATTCTAAGGACAGCTCTCTTCAGAGTCTTTGGCTTTCACTGGAACAAAGCTGCAGGGTGGTTGGAGAGATGGCCAAGGAAGGGCCTCACACGCAGCTCTACTCCCATACCCAAGTGGCTTTGCACATGTGACCTGATTTTTAAGATTTGTGAATATGCATATTGTTGTCTCCATTTTACTCAGGCTAGCCGGACTGGTAAGTGACAGAGATGCATTTTTGAACACAGCTATGAATCCAAAACACCCACCTTCAAAACCACCCACTCTCCCTACCTCAGGATGGCACCTGCCTGATTGTGACATGTTGCACTGAGAGCTATACAAAGAAAATTACACAATGTTGTTTGTGGCAATACAGACATACAAGACAGTTGGACTCAGCTTTGAAAAATGATACACCAAGACAGAAATGAACAATGAGTCATTTTCATTGCGTAGGTCAAGGAAGAGAGCAGGCTGGGGAATGGCTCAACTTGTAAAGCAAGTGCAAGGCCCTGAGTTCAAATCCCAGTACTGACAAGAAAAAAAAGGGGAACATTTTTGGATTGAGAAAGACATAGTCCAAAAATCAGAAGATGATTCTAGTCTTGTCATTAGCACTGCTGTTCTTTTATCACCCAACCTCAATTATTGCTCCAAGCTGGTATTTCTCTAGTTCCATTGTTCATAGAATCATCTGAGGAGATTTTACAAAATACTGATGCCCAGTTTTGCTCTGGGGTGTCTGATTTAATTGGTCTGCGGTGGGACTCAGGCACTAGGGATCCCCTAAGGGTTCTCATGTGCAGCGGGGGTTGAGAATTAATCTTCTAAGAGAATGGGGAAGTGGTGCCTAGGGGAGAGGCTGGCTGGCAGAAGAGCTTTACCTCTTGATGGTTTGATGGTAACAAGCTTGCTAATGATGGCTCATGTAAGAAAATGGGCCAGATGTCTGGATTTGCTGGATAAGGAATTGATTTCCTTACTAGATGGATAAGGTATGATTTCCTTACAAAACCTGCTAAAATTTTAATAGTGACAGGATGTAATCCTAGAATCTCTCAGAAGGGCTATAAAAAGGAAATCTCAGGCAGTCATGTAATCCATTCCTCTGGATTAGATGGGGTTGATGAGTGAGGAATACTTACATAGATTAGCAACACTTTTAAACCTTTTTAAATTTTACTTATTTATTTTTGTCGAGACAGGGGTCTTTCTTTGTAGCCCAGGCTGACTTCAAACTCATGGATCCTCCTGCCTCAGCCTCCTGAGTGCTGGGATTAGAGACATGTACCACCATAGCTTGCTAAACATTTTTAAAGAAGGAAAAATAATGGATAACCATAATAGTGGCGAGACAAACTCTCCCCTAGGA